AATGACTCTCATCATTGACATTTCTGTCTGTCTCCCTCTCCTTTCCTCTCTCTGAAATCAATAAAGATATATTTAAAAAAAGAAAAAAAAAGAAATGAACTCTTAAGTGTCTTTTTTTAATCTTTTTTTAAAAAAATATATCTTTATTGATCTCAGAGAGAGGAAAGGGGAGGGAGAGAGAGAGATAGAAACATCAATGATGAGAAAGTCATTGATTGAGCCCACAACCCGGGCATGTGCCCTTACCGGGAATCGAACCCCGATCGCCTGGATCCTAGGTCGACGCTCAACCGCTGAGCTACGCCCGGCCGGGCTCATTTTTAATAAAATACAAAATAATAAAAATCTTTACTTCAACATAGGAAAGAAAAACTGTGTCCCTAACACAGACTTTAATAGGGAATCAAAGTATATGCATTTCATTAAGCCAAAGAGAGAAAAGACGTTTATCTATTGCACAAGTTTTTAAAAAATATTTTTCATTATACAACTAATATCTACTTATTATGAAAATTTAAACATTATGGAAGTAAATCATGGGAAAAAAATGAAAGACCTCTCTGTCCTCTAGATTTAAGCACAATTAAATTAGTATAATCTGCAAAATTTTTTTCTAGGCATATGTAGATTTTACCTTTCAAAAATACAATTATGCTCAGACTGGTGCAACCACTATGGAAAACAGTATGGAGGTTACTCAAAAAATTAAAAATGGAGCTGCCTTTTGACCTAGTGATCCTACTTCTAGGAATATATCCTAAGAATCCTGAAACACTAATCAGAAAGAATATATGCACCCCTATGTTCATAGCAGTGCAGTTTACAATAGCTAAGATCTGGAAACTGCCCAAGTGCCCATCAGTAGATGAGTGGATAAAAAAGCTGTGGGACATTCACACCATGGAATACTATGCAGCTATAAAGAAGAAGGCTCTCGTACCCTTTGGGACAGTATGGATGGACCTGGAGAATATTATGCTAAGTGAAATAAGCCAGGCAGAGAAAGACAAACATCACATGATCTCGCTTATATGTGGAATCTAAAGAACTTAATATGATGAACAGAATAGATTCAGTGACATGGGAGCATGGATCAGACTGACAAATCTCAGAGGGATGGAGGAGGGTGGGTGGGTGGAGGGGGAGAGATTAACCAAAGAATTTATATGCATATATGCACAACCTAAGGACATGGACAATGGTGTGGAGAGGGACAGGAGAGGGGGATGGGGTGGAATGGGTCATTGGGGAGAAAAAGGGACATTTGTAATATTTTAAACAGAACATAACCAAGAAATACAATTATGCTATACATTGTTATGTATTATGTATGCATTATGCTATATGTAGTTTTTAAAGTTAATTTTTTAAATAGGTGATATAAAATATATGGTATAAACTTGGTGTAAAATGGTATAAGATGCAAATGGAATAGTACAAGGTAAATATCCCTTCTACCTCTGTTCTTTAATTGATTCCTTATGTTCTTCCCAGAGATGTTTTGAGTGTCTATAGACACACGCGCACACAAATGTATATTTTAATATAAATATGTATTTACATGTATGTGTTTTAATACAAATATGTGTTTAATGTGTATATTTTAATACAAGTATTTAATATGTATATGTATTTAATACAAATATGCAACCAATCTTTTTTATGTAACAAAATTTGGAGTATTTTTTATATTAACATATATACATTTATTTCATTCCTTAAAATTTTTTAAATGATTATATAGTTGTGACATAATATATATAACCAGTATTAGTGATGGACATTTTGGGTTAATCTCAGTAGTTTGCTATGCAGTGAACATATATTTTATTTATATATATATCTGCACTTATATGTGTCTGTAGATAAAATGTTAGAAGTAGAATTAAAAAGTATGAATATTTTTAATTGTAATAGGTATTCATCAACAAGACTGTCCATATTTCAAAAATATAGAAAAGTATGGAGGCTAATATAACAAATACCCATGTACTCATTACCCAGAATGAACATGTGTTAATATTTTTAATTTAAAGTAGAATCATACAGGTAAGGTTAACTCTAGTTTTCCTCCTATTCCCATCCCCATTTCTCCTGATGCATAGAAATCTATTCTGGTTTGGGGGTGATTCCTTTTAGTCTGTGTTTTTATGTTTTTCCTTTGTGTATACCCATATACAATATATAGTTATTACTTTGTTTGATTTTTTGAAATTTCCCTCTGACCCAACCGTACCACCTTCTGAGGTTTATCAGTCTCTCTCTCCTGGCTTAATTTTTAACTTTCTTTAATTCCCTTGGTTCTGAATAAGAGAGATCTCCCCTACTGAGTCAGGCTAGCACCTCTACACCTTTCTGTTATAGCACAGAACAAAGGTAAGAAGTCCTTAGAACTTCTGTCTATATAGTAAAACACCAATATATAATTTACAGAAATTATGTTTTAAAAAAGTCTATTGCCCAAGTATGCCCCTTCCTAGACACATCCTTCTTTCCTGCTCCTGCAGAGGTCACCACTGTCCTGAATTTTGTGTTAATGATTCCTTTGTATTTTTTTAAAAAATATATATCTATTGATTTCAGAGAGAGGAAGGGAGAGGGAGAGAGAGAGATAGAAACATCAATGATGAGAGAGTCATTGATCGAGCCCACAACCGGGGCATGTGCCCTGACCGGGAATCGAACCCTGATCTCCTGGATCCTGGGTCGGCGCTCAACCGCTGAGCCACTCCCGGCTGGGCTTCTTTGTATTTTTTAATGGTTTTTATTACCTATGAATGTATACTTAAAAATATTTTACCTTGCCCTGGCTGGTGTGGCTCAGTGATTAGAGCGTGGGCTCGAGGACTGAAGGGTCTCAGGTTAAATTCCCAGTCAAGGGCATGCACCTGGGTTGCAGATTCGATCCCCGATCCCCGCCCTGGTCAGGCCCTGTGGGAGGCAACCTATCCCTGTGTCTCTCTCACATGATCTTTCTCTTTCTCTCTCTCTCCCTCCCACTCTTCCTCTTGCTCTAAAAATCAGTGAAAGCCTGGGGAGGGGGCAGAAGCTGGGAGGAGGGGGTCAATGGGGGAAAAAGGGACATCTGTAATACTTTCAACAATACTGATAGAATTTAAAAAAATCAATGGAAAAATATCCTCGGGTGAAGATTAACAACAACAAAAAAGTTATGTTTATGCTATATTGTAGTCTATTAAGTGTGCAGTAGCACTATGGCTAAGAAAACAATGTACATACTTTAATTAAAAAATACTTTATTGCTAAAAAATGCGAACCATCATCTCAACCTGTTGGGAAAATGGTGCCAATAGACTTGCTCAATGGGGTTGCCACAAACCTTTAATTTGTAAAAAACAAAAAGCAAAAAACAAACTCCCACACAATATCTAAAAGTGCAATAAAGCAAAGTGCAATACCATGAGGTATGTCTGTATTGAGAGATATCACAAATAAATAATGCCAACACCAAAAGAGAACATTCGTAGATCATTCAAATGACTTCTGAAGACCCACAGTGGTATAGAGATCACATTTTGAAAACTATTGCTGTAAATATGTTGTCCTATAAGATGGTTTCCTTCACGTTATTTTGCCTATATAGCTTTAGTCTTTTATAAACAAAACTATATTAGGTTGGATAAAAATAAAAAAAAGAGATCCTCTAACTTTACCTCAAGTGGTATCTAAACAACTTTTAAAAAATATACATTTAATTCAAAAAGCATGAAAATAAAACCTCAGGAAAAAAATGAATATTTTTAGGTATTTCTGACAATCAGAAACTTGCATAAGCATAAAATACTTTTGCGTTTATTTTTACAGGTATCCCTTGGAATTTCACATTTAATGTAAAGTTTTATCCACCTGACCCAGCACAGTTAACAGAAGATATAACAAGGTAAACAATTTATTAATAGTTAAATATGTAATAAATAATTCTCATTATCATAAACTCTGGGAATTTCTCTTCAGAATTGAAGAAAAATGATGAGCTATTAAACCTAAGGTAGAACGTTTCTGATCATATGCTAGTGAAAATGTATCAATAATGTCGTCTTTGAATATGAAGGGCAATATCTACACATTTGGCAAAGCACAGTGATAGAAAAAGGCCCAATTTCAGAGACAAACAGCCTTATTACTATGTAACGTTGAGCAAGTTTACCTTTTGAGGCTGGTTCCTCATTTTATAATCTAGCAATGATTCCACCCTCACAAGTTTTTTTGTGAAGGTTAGGTGAGTTAATACATGTACATATGGTCCTTAGTGCACTCAACAAAACACTAGTTTCTTTACCTCCTTCAGACTTTTCCCAGCTTTTCCTCTTTTCTTTCTAAACTTCTTTCCAACCATGACTCCAACATAATTACAGGTTTTTAAAAAAAAAAAAAAAAAACATGGAAAAATTTTAAACACACACAAAAGAACAAATAACATTGCAAAGAGCAACCATAAACCCACTACCTGGATTGAACAATTATTAATATTATCTCATATTTACTTAATCACTCTTTTTTTCCTCTCTCTTTCCTTCCTTCCTCTCTTTCCCCTCTACTTTCTTTTCTCTCTGCATTTTGTTATTGTTGTTGCTGACATGGTAACATCTTTTTTCTTTTGGTTATAGATACTATTTATGTCTTCAGCTTCGGCAGGACATAGTTGCAGGACGTCTGCCCTGTTCCTTTGCAACCTTAGCATTATTAGGTTCTTATACCATCCAGTCTGAGCTGGGCGATTATGACCCAGAACTCCATGGTGCGGATTATGTTAGTGACTTTAAACTGGCCCCAAATCAGACCAAGGAACTTGAAGAGAAAGTCATGGAACTGCATAAGTCATACAGGTAAAAATCTCTCCAGGGTTTGTTCTGTGTTTGTTTTGGCAATAAGTTTAAACCCTTGACCTGGAATTGATTCACTGTTTCCCTTAGTGGGAACTGGTGCCATAGAAAGAGTCAGCATGAGCTCAATTCCCTCAAAATTCATTGAGTAAGTCATTTAAGTCCTCTGAATCTCAGTTTTCTTATCAGAGAAATGGGGTGTTGCATTGTAGGAGAAAACTAAATGAGCTAATATATGTAAAGCACTAAGCACAGTGTCTTTGGCACATAGTAGGTGCTCGATAAATGGTAGCTATTATTATTATTGCCTTACTTTGTTTTTTCAAATTTTAAACTGATGTTGTGTCGCGTGTCTTGAGATCCTTAGTGCAGGGTTTCTTAATTTGGGGTCTATATACATAGACTTCAGAGGGCCCATGAAACCCCTGGAGGTATTTTTTAAAGTCTTTATTAAAGTTACTGCTTTTTTTCATGGAAATAATTGGTAATGTTGGGAGGTGTCATAACACATTGATCAAGAGCAAGGGCTTACAGTCATACTGAGCTGGGTTACATTTTTGGTTCTGCTTGGTCCTGGCCTTGGGACTTTGGGTCATTCATTTAATCTCTCTGAGCCTCAGGTTTTTTATATGTCTGATAGAGATTATTTACCTTAGAGGACACAGGGTGGTTGTTAGGATTATAAAAGATAATGTGTGGAAAAACTTAATACAATGTTTTGCATAGTAAAAATTCAGTAAATGTTAGCTAATACTCAAGTGCCAATATAATTTGTGTTTCTTCCTACCATACATCCCATTGTTATTTAACTTGTTATAACTAAATTTTGCAGGCTGCTTTAGCATACTAAGGTGAATGGCTGATCTTCGCCTTGAGTTAGTACCCTGACCTATGTTAGCATGAGTTAGGTTACAATGTTCCAGAGGGTCACACTGCTGAGAAATTCAGAATAGTCTTATGGACTTTACATGGTAGTAACAAGTATTCTACTTAGCCATTGAGCAATCTTGTTTTCCTTGGAGTGGTTCCAGTAGGATTGCAGGGATTGAGATGCTTCAAGTAAGAAAGCTTTAACTCAAGGTGCCCCAATTCTGGCTGCCTTATTGCCCCTGTAGGTTCCACTATATCGGTCATGAGAACCATAGGGTTTTTAAGTCTACAACCTACATAGCAATAGCCTTGTAAGAATCACTCTACTCTAAGGGGGTCACACTATTTCCAAAGAGGATTCTGCAGTAATATCTAGGACCTACTAAATATACCATTTTCAATTTGTTGATGATTGTGACTTAAGGATGTTGCATTGTCCTTAAATACATTTTTAATACTTATATTCTGATTATGATTCTAGACAGTTATATATATAAGATATATATTCACACACATATATCCATACAAAAGCAAGTAGTAGAAACAGTTAAAATTATTTGATTTGTTAGAATGTCAGGATTGTAGGGGAATGCTCTTTTTAGTTCCTAATAATTTAAAAATAATTTTTTTATTTGTAGGATAGTCTTTGGGCAATCAGTAAAATAGTAAAAGAAAATAGTTTAACTTCTGCTATGTAGCCAAACAGCAGATGGTGTCAGATTATGGTAGATAACTTAAATCTGTCTCTGATGATTCTTTTAGTGGTTTTCTAATCATAATAGAATCTCAGATTTGGGAGGACTTTATAGTCTCTTATCCAATGCTTGACTCTCCTTTGTAGCATTGTTACACAATCATAATAATTATAAGCAGCTAATTATTATTTGTCTATGATTATGTGCCAGATACTGTGCTAAACACTTTATATACAATATCACATTTAATCTTTATAACCACCCTTTGAGTTAGGCCAGCCTGGTGGTCTTCAGTATTTTTTTGAGATCAAAATTATTTTCATAACAGTACTAAGATGCTATTTGCCTTTTTCACTAAGTTGAAATGGGTAGAGCACAGATCAAGGCAATGACACGAAACTGTAGTAGTCATCATTATATTCTTTACCGACATGCACTTTTATTTTTTAACTTGCAATTAAAAATAAGATTAAAAGGGCCAGATCACTTAGAAATTTTCTTGATGAGGCAGTAAAAAGTAATAATTTTATTAAATTGTAAATACATTTCTATGTAATATTTTGTGTGATTAAGTAGGAAAAATATAGAAAGCAGTTCTGCTGCATACTGAAGTGCCACAGTTGTCTTGAGGAAAGCACCTGCGTAATTGTTTTGAGTTGTGAGCTGAATTAGCCACTTTTTTAATGAACACCATTTTTACTTGAAAAAATTACTATGATTATTCAGACTTGGTTATTTGGAAGACATGTCCTTAAAAATGAAGGGAGTCGGTACTTTTAGGGTTAGTAAACAACTGACAGTATTTGTTGCTAATGACAAAATTCAAGCTTTCAAGTGAAAGTTAGAATTTTGGAAAACTTGTATTTGCCACCATGATATTGACAAGTTCCAAATACTTAAAGGCTTTTCTGATGAAGTTGGGATGATTTAATGATTGTGATTATTTTTCTTATATTGTACAATGAAATGTGTCAACATTTGGAAGACTTGCGTTACTCACTGAACCAATGATTGTCAAATATGAAGTGCATGATGTAGATCATGCATGGGTAAAAAAGGTCCATTTAAAATGCAAGAGAGCCCTGCCAGGTGTGACTCAGTGGTTGAGCATCGACCTAGAATCCAGGAGATCCTGGTTCGATTCCTGGTCAGGGCACATGCCCGGGTGTGGGCTCGATCCCCAGTTGGGGGCATGCGGGAGGCAGCTGATCAATGACTCTCTCTCATCATTGATGTTTCTATCTCTCTCTTTCTCCCTCTCCTTTCCTTTTTTGAAATCAATAAAGACACATTTAATAAATAAATAAATAAATAAATTTAAAGTTTGATAAGGAATAGGATATTCAAAAGGTTTCAAGCCAACTTTACCTCAGGAACTTTAATTAAAAAGAGTGGGGGGAGGTTTCAAAATACATTCTCACAAAATGCTATTAATTACAAAGAGATAAAGAGGAATTTCATAGAGGAGAATCCTGGTAGACATCAGTGATCAAATGAACATCATCCATGAAGGGACAGATTGAAACTATATACTACCTGGTAGGATGTGGTGAGAACACAGGGTCACTTCTGTGATGTTCCTGTCACAGATACATAATCTGAATCAACTCATGGAGAAACAGGCCCAAAAGGAGGGGCATTTTATGGAATAACTGGCTATAATCTTCCAAAGGTTAAGATTACTGTTCCAGACCAAAGAAGACTAAAGAGACATGAACTAAATGAAACTTGTGATGCAAAACTGGATCCTTTGACTATACAGAACATTTTTGAAATGCTAAACTTGAATGGGGCCTGGGGGTTAGATGACAGTAATGTATTAATATTTCCTGGTTTTGACAGTTATATGGAGGTTATGTAGGAGAATGTCCTTGTTTGTAGGAATTATATACCAAAGTATTTGGAAGTGATGGGTCATCAGGTTGACAATTCTCATGCTTCAGGAAAAAATTACTTGTATTATAGGTAGCTTTAAAAAAATTATTTTTTAATTACAGTTTACATTCAACATTATTTTGTATTAGTTTTCACATAGGTAACTTTTAAGTTTAAGAGTGTTTTGAAAATTTTAAATTATATTATTTTAAACTAATAAGGAAAGTTATAGCTTTAAAGTTAAAAATCTCTTCTTACTACCTGCCCATAATGCAGTTGTAAAGCATGCTTACTCAGCAAAGCATTTAACCACATAGTTTGAGATTTAAATCTGTACTCAAATGGATGGAGCCTGTTATTTTCCCTTAGAGTTGGGGGAGTGAGGATAGGGAGGATTTTATCATAATTCTTTCATTTAATGTTTTAAAATTTGTCTTCAGATTCAAGTGGGCAAAACTTTTATGAGATGCATAAGATATATCACTGTATCATCAGAAACCTAAGGTTGTAATAATAATAAACATTTATCTTTTACAAAGCAGTTTCACAACCATTACCTCATTTTGTCCTACCAGTCACATTCATTCATTCAGCAAAGACAAAAAGTCGTTGCCTATCCTAGTGTCTGAAAGTAGGCATTATTTTGATTTTTACTTTATAGTTGGGGTATTGAAGGAGACACCAGGTCACCACTTTTAAGTGCAGGAGCCAGGATTCCGGTTCAAGCAATATAACTTGAATCCTGACTAAATCCTGCTGCCTTAACCAAGGGGCCATAACTCGACCACGACTATGATCCCTCAGGGCCTGTTTCTTCAGCAGCAGAATGAAAGTGTTGGACTCTGTAATCTTCAAGCTCCATTCCAGGTTTAAAATCCTAAAATTAAAGCCATTGATAATAGCAACAATGAAAACCATAAAATGACTTTTATAACTGTGAAAGTGTATTAACTTATGTGGGGGTGGAAAAACTACAAAACTTTCCTGAGGTGTTTTTAATGATTTGACTATACAGATTTTTAAATGTCTTAATTTTTCCTTTCTCCTTTTTTCTCCTTTTTGTTTGTGTTCAATTTCAGATCCATTAATAAATAGAATTCAGGTGTGATAGTGTAGTGCTTGTGAAAAGCATTTATTCAGGGAGGCTGAACATTAACAAACTCTGCTGCTTCTTTCCTGAGATTTTTTGTTGTTGTTATTGTTCCAAGGAACCCTTTGTTCTTTTTAATGAGGGTAAAGACAGATGGGTTTGGAAGAAACGTTTTCTTCCAGTTAAATGAATAGGCCACTGGTGCTTTGTATAGCTTGAGGCGATCTTATGGGAAATTGGCTTTTCCATGGTTTTTCTATGGGGGTGTGGGTGCATTATTGTTACTGTGAAGTTATATTTGATTGGCCTGAATTGTGCAGCACTAGGAGTGATATCTTTCTCTTCAAAGATCAACATAATTGCTCATGAGCACTTTTCAAGAGAGCAAAGTTAAAAAGGGTAAAGAAAGACCATCACAGTGAGTGTTTAGGCTGTGAGACTGATTGTTTTCAAACAAATAGAATTCATTATATGCCTAGTAATGAAGACATCTTAATAACAGAGAAAGCAGCCCCATTATCTACATGCTTCTATTAACCAATTTATTTTGTTTAGATCAGTGGGCAGGAACACCATCTGTTCCCAGAAATTTTTTTTTCATCAAGCCTGCCCCCATTAAGAGTCTCCAGTTAAGTAACTTCAGCTGCCCTCCTGTTTAATTTCCATAATAACTCAATTCAGGGGTATGGAGAGAAAGAGGCAGCTAAGAGGATATTGTAAATTGTACCATGCCCTCAGAGGATTTAATTTGGTCACTCCCTAAGCAAGAAAAATTAATGGGAGGAGTTTATATGTGTGAGAGAAAAAGGCTGAGGAGAGGGAGGGGCAGAACTGATGGTGGATGAGGCCGATTAAAGAAATTGTTTAATAGGAAATTTTTTAAACTCTTTTTTCTGATAGCTTTTTTGGTGGACTTTTTGTTTCTCTAAGCTCTCTTATTTCAAGAGTCATTTTGCATAATATTCTTTCAGAACTATGAACTGTATGTATATATTGGTATACATATTTGTTTATGTGTTTATATAAAATACAATTATTATACAAATGTTATTGTAAATGTTGACACTGTGACACCGAAAGAGTTTTAAATTTGTATTCTATCAAAGGTCCATGACTCCAGCTCAAGCTGACCTGGAATTTCTTGAGAATGCCAAAAAATTGTCCATGTACGGTGTTGACCTTCATAAAGCAAAGGTAATAACTTTGGCCTTTATTAACATGCATGTGTCAGACCTGTGTCATGTAATCCTTTCACCAACCTTTATCCTAGGGTATTATTCTAAAACATTCTAAAGAGATAGGAATTCTTGTTAGAATTTTAAGTCTATCAATTGAATCAGTGTATCAAGTATATAAATTAAATTGCCCCTTTGCAATTCCACCATCAGAATTCAAAGTTTCACATCTAGGCTACTGTATGGATCAAAAGATACACCATCTAGAGCAAAAGAAATTATGTTTTCCTAAAATGCAGATACATTTGAAAATGTAGAGTGTTATCAATGCATGTTTCACAGCCAACATCACGTATGTCAGAATCACTTGGAGCACTTATTAAATATGCAGATTTACCCCAAACTCCTCCCAGATTTACCAAATTATTTTAGAGGAGAGGCTGAATTTCCAGATTTAATAAGTATCCTAAATGACTCATCTATGCTTGGATTTGAGAACCATTGGCCTAAAGGTAGCAGTTCTCAAAGTGTGGTCTCTGAACCAGCTTTTAGCATTATCTAGGAACTTGTTAGAAATGCACATTTCAGGCCCCACCCCAGAATTACTGAATTAGAAGCTTTGTGGGTAGAACCCAGCAATCTGCTTAACCAAGCTGTCTAGGTGATTCTGGTGCACATGGCATGAACAATAGTGGCTCATTTGAGAACCACTGGGTTATGAAATTGGAACCTTGAGCTTTAACCCTAGCTCTGCCTAATACAGCCTAACAATGAATACTTAAGGGAAGTTGCTTGACTTCTCTCATCTTCAGCTGTTAAAATGGTTGGGGGGTTGAGGAGTTTGTGAGGGAAAGAGCTTAAAGGAGGATCAGAGATTCATTTAGAGAAACTTAACTAGGGTGCATGAGGAGGGGACTCAGCTGTGTCCAATGAGAAACAAGCAAAGGAATAGGGATACTTAGCCCACAGAAGAGAAAGTTGGGGAAGACATAATGTCTATCTTCATGCATTTAAAGGATTGGTGTGTGAAATAGAAATTTTACTATGGCTCCAAGATAGAAAACTAGAGCCAGTAAAATGGAAACTACAGGGAAATACTGTTCAGCTCAGTTTGACAAATTCTCTAACAGAGCTATTCACAGAAGGGATGGGCTACCTCATAAGATAATGAGCTCTCTATCCCTGGAGGTATTCCGTGATAGGCAGTATAGCCACTTGGGAGGAATTTAGAAAGGGACATTCAAATATATAGTGGATGATTGGACTAAAACGGCCTTTCAGTCTTCTCCCAATCTGAATATTTAACATCTGAAGTCTCTTCCTTATTTAAGTTACATTAACTTTATTAGAATTTCATTGCACATTAGTGGTTTTTTTAAAGATGATGCTCCAGATCGTTCTGGGCTGGGGACTGTAACTTGAATCTATGTAATCTATGAATCTGTAAAGTAGATGGTAGGGAATGTCAGTACATCAGATCAGCTATATTTCCAGAACTGAAATTGTTTGGTTTTGTTTCTCAGTTCCTACTGGAAGCTGGTTGTTGATTCAATAATTATCTGGAATGGATGGAGGAGTCAGGTAGCATGTTCCTTTCCCAAATGTAAAGCAGATTGTTTCTCTGGAACATATAATTGAGAGATATAGTTGTACCCACAGGCATTAAGAACTTAAGAGGGCATCTTCTGGGAAATTCTGTTATATAGTCGTTTAATTGGAGCTGTATATAATTTCTGCTTGTGCTTGTACATACACACGTAGGCACTAATATGTTTCTCTATACTCAGTTTGGGAAAAGAAGTAGTCAAGAAGCATTTAACTCTAGGTTTTGATTACTTACCTAGATAAGTAATCATCTGTTGAGATTAACTCGAGTGAAATTTAGTTTCCTTGAATTGCAGATGTAGATGATTAACGTATATTTAATTTTTAAAATTTTCGCTAAGAAAAGAGGCATGTAAATATGACTGTATTTTATCTTACTGTTCTTCCTTGATTTGGGGATAATATTTATAATTTAATATACTTAACATAATAATTGTAAGAATCTGCAATTCTCTCACACTGAGTTTATATAGGAATAAAGTTAACTCCTTTACTTATCATGACTTAAGGGGATGACCACTTTATCATTAAAAAAGAAAGAATTTAAATTGTGCATAATGTTTGGTGGTATATATAACCCTAAGCTCTTGCCTCCAGGAAGTCATGTGGTCTGCTGACTTAAACATATATGTATAGGATATGCAGCTACCATAGCTACTGTAGTAATTATTTGTTGATTATGATAGTGATAGGTTTGAGTATTTTAGAACTCAGAGGGCAAAATGAGAACATCAGTGTTTACTAGAATTTTCATATACAGACAGGCATGGTAAAAGTAAATTAGTGTCTCTTTTTGGATTATTAAGGAAAACCTTTTTGAGAGCTGAGGCTCAAAAGGCAGATAGGGTGAAAGCCCCATGAATTTTTTACATACATGTGTTAATTTAGTGATATGTAAATGCTTTTTAAAGATAATACATGTTTATTATAATTGGAAAGTATAGAAAACCAAAATGAGAGGTTGCTCATAATTGTACCCCCTAAAGAATGCCATCATTAGCGTTTTGCTATGTTCATCTTACTTCTATGTATATGTTTTATATTGTTGGGGAAAATTGTATATGCAGCTTTAATCTGCTTTATTTCACTTCACATTACAACATAATTATTTTCCTATTTATCTCTCAAATTCTATGTAACCATTTTAATCGCCACATTGTATTTCACCAAAGGCTGGACAATAATTTAACCCTGGTGCTTGGGTACTTAGGTTGTATCTGTTTTTCCCTCTGATAACATTCTGAACACTTTCATGTATAAAGCATTTTATGTGATTTGAATTATTTTCTTGGAATAGATTACAGAAATAGAATTGTGTCTGATTTGGACATTTTAAAGATATTCGTGACAGGTAATATTGATTTTTTTAAAAATGTGGTGGAGTAACGTTTTTACATAGACCGAATTGTCTCATGGGCTATTATAAGTTAAGCTTTATTTTCCATTGTATGCTTTGTAACTGTTTTTGGTTGTTGGTATCTTCAGATTATGTAGAAATAGTCAACAGTGTGTTGAGCACTTTGCTCAAGACTGAAATGCAAATGCTTTTCTTTTTCAGGACTTGGAGGGAGTGGATATCATCCTAGGTGTCTGCTCTAGTGGCCTTCTGGTTTACAAAGATAAGCTGAGAATTAACCGCTTTCCTTGGCCCAAAGTCCTGAAGATTTCTTATAAACGTAGCAGCTTTTTCATCAAGATTCGGCCTGGAGAGGTACTGAATTTGTTTTTTATCCTTCCTGAATCAAACACAGACCGTCTAAAACATCTCTTCTTTCCTTGTTATGTCACCTAAGAGGTCTCTGTTTTCTAAGTCAGTCCTGTAATGCTTCTTTTCCTCCTTACTACTGGTTTTCTGGGCATTTCTCTTTAAGTAAGTAAATATACTATAGTCAAAAGTGAAACTTGCATTGATAAACTTGTTTCTTGTTTACTCCAGGTAAAATCTTGATGGAAAATAGTTTTAAATTAAGTAGCATGAGATTTTTTAAATTGTGGGGTTAAGTTGCATTTTGTACCACCAATCTCTTACTCATTTAATTAAAACATATTTGTATGTGTAGCTTCTAGTAGTTACTGGGAATATATTCTAGGGTCAAGTTCTAGATTTTTAATAGAGTTGTTTAATTTTGTGTCAGATAATTCAGTTATAAGTTGCTGGGCAAGTTTCAGGATATACTAATGCTGACCAAATTTAACTTTTATATTAAAGAGCCATCAAGGCATAGCAGAAAATTGTTTAAGCAGGAATTAAATTTTAAAAAAAGTTCTAGCTCCTACTCTGCCACCTACTAAGTAAAAGACCCTGGAGAAATCTAAGGCTCAGCTTCTTTATCATTCAAAGCATGTATTACCTTCTCTGTTAGGGCTGATTTGAAGATCAAAGGAGAAGACAGCTGCAAAAGGTCTGAGCCGGAAAGCATTATGCTATTGTAAAGTGGCTTTTGTGTGTATATATCACCATCTGCTGGTGAAAATGGCTCATTATTTGAGCATGGAAATACTGGATGTGCAGCTTTAAAAATCTCAGGTGTTATCATTGAAGCATGTATTTAGTACCACAATTATTAACCTGTGCCTGTCACAGAGCAATCACCATCTTCCATTAAGGAGTTTCAAATCCAAGAGTCATTCAGTAGACAGATATTTATTGAGGGCATTCTTTGTGCCAGCCACTACCTTGGGGCTAGGAACAGTGAATAAAAGTCCATCCCTCAACAATCTTACATTTTAATGTGGGAAGGCAGGGGAGGGGAAGGGATATATATATATATATGTATGTATATATGTACACACACACATTTTAATAAGTTTGATAATTGAATTCCTTGGTTTCTTTAAATGTCAACTATATAATATATACTAAAAATACAGAAGGCAATCAGAAACAAAGTAGGATTTCAAAAAGTGTAGAAGTATGACTACAGTAGATGGTTTAGAAGTAGCATGGTTTAATGGAAACCATGGAATTCTGGTCCTGCCACTTGATAGCTGTGTGATCTCACTGAGAAGTGAGAAGTAACTTGTATGGCCTCAGTTTTTTCACGTGTAGTACTATATAGTCATAGCGTATTGGCAATAATAGGCACTAGAAATGAATGTCAGTTTCCTTTCCATTTTAAAAAGTGTGCTTAAGGCAGAAACTAAGAGGCAAGAGACTAGCAGGACAGTGTTTGTGGCGGCCCTGGCGGGATACGGTTTGCTTCCATCAAAGAAGTATCGCGATAAATAATGACCAGTCAAAGGAAAAAAAGAGAAGGCAATTAATAATTCAAGGATTGATTTGAGCCGAAATCTTTAATCTTGAGTTCCTGTTACTAAAAAAAAAAAAAAAAAAAAAGATTACATAACAATATTGATTGATTGGAGATTGTGGTCTAGTATCCCAAGTACAGATGATGACCAAGGAAGACCTGTGTCTGGACAACCAAAAGGTGACTTAATTATGACTCAGAAAAATGTACAGTGTATGTGTGTGTGTGTGTGTGTGTGTGTGTGTGTGTGTTTCCGAACAAAATAAGATGCATAAATAATATAAGATGCATTCCCTGGCTTCCTTGTGGAAAAAGCCACCTCAGTGAGTAAATTTCTTTTTGTAAGTAGGAAACACATTTCAAATATTTTATGTCTTTAGGAATGTTCTTTTTATTCTTGATGATCTTTTCTGTAGCACTATATTTCTCTGGTCAGTGTATCACTGTAGTCAAATAGTCCTTTATGTTTTATGTTTATTTGTGTTTTTATAGCAAGAACAGTATGAAAGTACCATCGGATTCAAACTTCCCAGTTACCGAGCAGCTAAGAAATTATGGAAAGTCTGTGTAGAGCATCATACATTTTTCAGGTATTGTTCTCACTTAAGTATTTTTCAAGGATAAATTATTTATGCATGTTTCTATTTTAAGACTGCTGTTAAAATTCCCTTCTTTGTATGGCTGGCATTCTTTTGTTTAGCTCAGGTAAGATCATCTTAAGCAAGGCAAAATGAATCCAGTTCTCCTTTGGGTTGAAAAAGATGCCTCAACATTCCCAGAACACCTTTCTGTGTACGGTAGAAGGTGGAGAGATGTGAGGAATAGGAACCTATGTTTACTAGGGGCTCTGTGATTGCCCTAACTGGAGCTGAAATCAGTCCTATTAGGAGAAGGTACCCTGACTACCTCCACATGCAATTTCTCTAAGCAGTGCTTAACTACTTTCTGTGGAACTTTTAACTGGAAGGTTAAAGGTACGGAGCTGATCATTATCTTGGCTCTAATCAACCCCAGAAAGGGAGCACAGACAACCATCTTTCAAGCCCACTTGTATCAGATGATCAGAGGACAGAAGAAAGTTTTCTCTCTTCTGGTTTTCTTTCTTTCTTTCTTTCTTTTTTTTTTAATATATCTTTATTGATTTCAAAGAGAGGAAGGGAGAGGGAGAGAGAACATCAATGATAAGAGAGTCATTGATCGGCTGCCTCCTGCATGCCCCCTGACTGAGGATAGAGCCCACAACCTGGGCATGTGCCCCAACCAGGAACTGAACCGTGATCTCCTGGATCCTAGGTCGATGCTCAACCACTGCTATGCCCAGCCGAGCTCCTCTGGTTTTCAAGGGACCATATCATTAACTCCCTGTACTCAATTACTAGGCATTTTTTCTGTGCTTACCCGATGTGTAGGTACTGTACTAGGCACTGAGACTATACCACAGGATACTACTAGTCCCTGTCCTGATGGAATGTACAGTCTAGCAGAGAATACAGACCTCAGACAAATTACTTGTATAGAAAGAAGAATCAGCTTGTGATTGTCAGCTTGTCCTTCAAAGAAAATTTCTTTATTATGGAAAATTGCATACATAACAACAGTAAGGAGAATAATATGATGAATTCACCTGGTACCTGTCACCCAGCTTCAATAATTATCACCCCAAGGCCAGTCTTGTTTTATCTATAGCCCCACCCAGTTTTCCCCACTACTTCCCAGATTATTTTGAAGCAAATCCAAGACCTCATGATACGTCATTCATAAATAAACTTGATTCTGTACAAAAGACTTTCAAGAGAGAGAATCATGATATCTTTTCCTTCTATTTGTATTTTCATATCATACTTAGCACTATAGCACAGTGGACAGGAAGAAAAGCAAGGGAAAATAACGTTTCAATTCTCATTGCAAAGTAAAACATGAGGGTACATTTTATACCCAGTTTAAGAATCTTAATTATTGGCATCAAGATATTTCTTTATGCTTTCATCATCCTCTTTAAAATCAAACCAAGAAAATAGAATTTTTAAAAGGGTAAGGAAAAGTGAAAAAAAGTTATTTTGAATGTTTAATATCTATGGTATTTCAGCTGTAGCCAATGTATTTACTTACAGGATAGCATATTTAAATCCATTGCATCAAAATAAGAGGCTATATTAACATGTAATGCTTCATTACATAAAAGAAAGTCAGTATTTGCTGAATTAAAATAAACTATCCCCAAGGAAAAAATACTCTTTTTTATAGTATTTGAGGTAATAACTTATCTATTTATTCAGTAAAACATTTATTTATTTTATTTTATTATTATTTTTAATATATCTTTATTGATTTCAGAGAGAGGAAAGGAGAGGGAGAGAGAGACAGAAACATCAATGATAAGAGAGTCATTGATCGGCTGCCTCCTGCACACCCCTGACTGGGGATTGAGCCTGCAACCTGGGCATGTGCCCTGACAGGGAATCGAACCCTGATCTCCTGGATCCTAGGTCGATGCTCAACTGCTGAGCCATGCCCGGGGCGGCCAAACATTTATTGAGTGCCAAATTCATGCCAGGGCTATGCCAGAAGTGGAAACACAAAGATGAATAAATGGAGACCAGCACAAATTATTTCAATTCAGTGTAGTAAATGCTGTGACAAATAGAGCACAGGGTACTGCATAAGAAGATGGGGTTCCTAACTGAGTTGAAAATACACCAAATAACCTATTAAATAGGTTACCAGGCATTAATTGAGTTTGGAATGCATTTGACAAAATTATTCTATTAGAGTGGAAAAAGAGCTCAGACTTGGACTCTGTTACTGCCCAACCTCTTAACAGCTATGTCACCTTAAGCAAGAAACTTCTTTTTTGAGGTTCAGTTTCTTGTATCTATAAAATGATGACAATATTATGGGGATGTAGTGAAAATATTACAGTGCTATAAAAGTGTTTTGAAGACCGTAAGGCCTACCTGTAGAGATATAAATACTATTATTAATATAGGCCACAAGTAAATTATACATGTTGCTTGGAGAAATGACATAGAATTAAAATAATGATTGCTTGATGTGAAATCTGTCTTAGTAGCTATAAGGAAACTTTGAGAATTTTGAAACTTTAAAAAATCTAGGTTTTGTCTTTAATCTCACAGTCTCGTTAGAGTGAGATAAAATATGTAATATATTATCATTATGGCTTTTTTTCCCTCAGACTGACATCTACAGACACCATTCCTAAAAGCAAATTTCTTGCACTGGGATCCAAATTTCGATACAGTGGCCGAACTCAAGCTCAGACCAGACAAGCTAGTGCTCTGATTGATAGGCCTGCACCACACTTTGAGCGTACAGCAAGCAAACGGGCATCCCGGAGCCTTGATGGAGGTTTGTATTGAATTTTGATTTCCTATGAACCTAACTGTTTAGAGAAAGATAATGGAAGTAAAGGTATCTATAAGAGAGCCAAATTAAAGATCGAACCTGCAACGAGGTATGTGCCCTGGCAGGGAATTGAACCTGCAACCTTTTGGTGTACAGGACAGTGTTCCAAAGGAGCCACCTGGCCAGGGCCCTTTTGAATGTTTTTAAGTAGTTATTTTCTCAAATAGAAAAGAGGAAAAGGGTCTGCCTCACTAGAGCAATCAGTTAAAAAGTTTAGATCATTTGTCATGTGGCAATTATATGCAGAAAAAGTCCTATTATTGGAGTCTCCAAATTTTGTTTAAGTAAAATAGTGAGGAAATAAATAAGTTTCGTGACTGTGTATTCTGACAGATCTGTCTGAATTTTTCTAAGTTAGTCTCAAGAATTTGAGAGCATTACTGAAATGAAGTAACAAGCCATATTCAGTTCTTTATGCCGCTAAAAATAAGTGAAAGTTCAGAAGGCAGTAACCAAAGTAGGGTATTGTTATATCTGCTGCTCAGAGCATCTGTGTCACTAGCTGAAGAAACAAAACTGGTTCAGATCCAGTTTATACAATAGACTGTTAAATTACAAGGATAGTTAATAATGATGACAAGGATTCTTCAACATATTTTTGTTGCCTTTTTTGCTTTTCAAGTCATTTCCACTTTTTCCTATTTAGTACCACCAACCATTTAGTACCAAGAAGCATTTAGGAATTCTTGTTTTACTCATGAGGAAACTAGGGCACAAAAAAAAGTTATATAACTTGCTAGGGTCACACAACCAGGAAGTTCATCCATTCTGTGAGTAGTAGTTGCAATGATTCTTGCCAGGGGAATACATCTGTCATTTTCGGAGCTTTAAAACAAATGTCCAAGCCTCACCCTTAGATATCTTATCTGTTTGTGGTGAACCCGAGAATCAGGGTTTTGTTTTGTTTTTTAAGATTCACAGATGATTCATGTGGGGTCCCTCTGGTAATGGAACCACTGATCCATTGCATACCTGTTGTACCTGTACTATACTAGCAGAAGTTGTGCTAGTAAGTTATAGAGCTAGAACTGGAATTTAAGTCGCCTTTTACTCCACATGATGGTTTTGAGTTTTACTCTTTATTGCTGTAATACATAAATGTTTAACTTTCTGTTGTCAGATGGGAGCAATACAATACTGGAATTAATGGGCTCATAAGATTATCAGCACTCTTTAGAAATGGGTAATAATTGAAATTTTCAGGTTAAGTGTTTTCTATATATACATCAAAATCTTGTAATAGTTAACAAATGAATTCATAAAACTGAAGAGCCAAAACATTTTAAAAAGTATTTACTACCTTCAACACTGTGACTATACTAAAAACATTGAATTATGCACTCTAAATGAATGAACTGTATTGTGTGTGAATTATAGCTCAGCAACCACAGTCACTACCATGATTCTCTGTTGTGATTCATAGTTTGTAGTTTTCTTATTTAGAAGAGGAAAGAAATTTGTTTCTCTCCAGGGCTCCCAGGTTATACTTGAATTGCATATCCATGTATACATAATTAATTTCCCCCCACATGCTCTTGAAATAATATTTACCCATAACAAAAGAAATGCAAACACATTAGAAGTTATTAATATTTAGGGTTTATAAAGTATTTTTGTAGCCATTGAATATGCCATCCCCAGCTATCCTGTAGAGTTAATATCTTCCACATTTTACAAATGATGCAACTTTCTGCCTCTGTCTCTATCTGCCAGTTTCCACAGTTATACCTACTTTTCCACATGCAGTACAGATGGCCAGCACTAGGAATGCTGAAGACGTAAATCATTTGGCTCTGCAATATTAGTATTGGATTAAAACCAAGCGCAAGTGGCAAAATAACACATGGTGAAAGCATGGGCTATGTTTCTGTGATGCCAGTCAGAGTTGAATTAATTCTTTGAGAGGAGGTGTGAATACACATGTATAATGATACTTTAACACAACTGTGAGCAAAATATTTTGTCACATTCCCCTGTGTTGTTAGATTTGGTCTGCCATCTGCCATTCTTGCATTGACTGGCTTAGAGCACTGGTGAGTAGCAGGGACTTGCAACAGGGCACAGAGTTTTCATTGAAAAATAAAGTAGATTCTTATGTGCCTGCTGTTTTTCCTGTGCATCCTCTGAAGAATGATTTCTTCCCCTAGAGATCATTATAGGGTTACGAGCATTTCTTTCTTGGTGTTATCTGTATGAAGTAGCTGTGAATTTCAATTTTTTATCTGTTCTGATTCATGGAATTTCTTTGTTTTACCTAATCCTTGCTGTTTAAAAACCTAAATTTATCAGGATAAGTTAAGCTCCATATACTCAGTTTAAGAAGGCAGGAATGTGTGTAATAAAAATTGTATAGGTTTTCATGCAAAATAATTAAAATTTAAAAGTCTCAGTACATGGAAGGGTGAATTGTTATCAGAAATATTAAATCATGTGGAAACACACTACAAAATGTATAGATGTTTTCTTTTAGTCCCTGGAAGAAGGACGATAAAAATCATGAGTGTGATTGTTTTGAAGTAAGCAATCTGAACCTTAGATACCAAATAATCTGAACCAAAAATCTGTGAAAAGTTCAATCTTTTGTCATAAACCTACATTGAATAGTCTCTCTAACAGGCTTGTTAACCTCAGCAACTTTGGCCTGTACACACTGGATGCCAGTACCCCCTTCCACTTCTCTTCCCAGTTGTAACAACCAAAAATGTCTCCAGACATTGCCATGTGTTCTGCGGGAGGCAAAAAGTACCCCTGGTTGAGAACTGATGCCCTAAATATATTAGAGAATAGGAATTGTAATACAAATTGATAGGACTCGAGGAGATGGTAGGACAGAACTCAAAAGGTTGAGGGGTATTGTTTTTAAAGGACTAACAGCCAAAGATTTTGAATTCATAATTATTTTAATCAAATGAGTTATTAAAAAGGAAAGTGTTTGGTTCAAAGATTTACCCTTGAACAGCATCAAAAGCCTACATGTCTTAAAAGATCCACTTATCAACTTATTTCGTAATCATTCCAAGGAGGATTCACAGAAGAAATCAAACTTAATCCTTTTTCCTAGAGTATATTTTTAGGTTCCTGAAGTTACCTATAAATGAATAGGTCTTTATTTCAAAAAGGCTTCATGGAAGAAATAAGATTTACTTAACCCTCTTTTCCCCTTCCATAGACTGCATTACAGGTTCTTAAAACGAACAAACAGATAACAAGGTTATACAATCTTGGTAACTTTTTAATAAAATGAGTTTTTAATTCTTTTCTTATTTTGATGTCAACGCCTCCACCCCGACCGCCATCACGAACATGATCACCGGCACATTTTAGTTTTTTCTTATTGCCATCAGTTAATTGCCTGGCAGAGCATTGCCAATGATTTATTTCTGTACCTTCTGTGTGATAGCCCACTTGACATTGTAGCACTCATGTGGTCACCTAGTGACTTTGAGGTGGTACAGTGACTCTTGACTTCACTTGTTCTTCTCTTTTCCTTTTTTAACATAACAGCGGCTGTTGATTCCACAGACCGAAGTCCTCGGCCCACTTCTGCACCAGCCATTGCTCAGAGTCAGGACGCAGAAGGCAGTGTGCCAGGTGCATCTGTCAAAAAAACAGCAGTTTCTAAAGCACAGAAGGAAACAGTGAAGGTTGAAGGGAAAAAGGAAGAAGTACCATCTGAGCAAGCTGAGCCAGAGCCCACAGAAGTGTGGAAGGTATGTCCTAAGACCAGGTATCTGGCGAATTTGCTTTCTGATTTAGAGGTGTTAACTCCTTGACCATGAAGGCTTTCAAAGCATTGATTCTTACAGAATCCTAACGAAGCTATTTCTTCATTATTCTTTCTGAAAGAAGGTATCTCCCATGAACCTGTAAAATGCTTTCACAGAATTATGTCATGAAGACTATAATCTATCCCAGAAGTATTCATGTGACCCAACTTTTACCCAAGTTTTATCTAAAAAAAAAAAAAAAGTCTATAAAACATGACAACACTGTGATAGTCTGCTTTTAAAAATAAGTTTTACTCATCCAGAAGGAATCTCCACATTCCTTTTTAAGAGTAAGCTATGCTAGTATGATGAAAATATAACTTGATTTCCCTAAGTTGGATATGTATGCAACGTAGCCAGAAAATATCCAAGTATTACGTAAAGCACATCTATGTGGTTGTTTAAGCCTTAAGTAGCTTTGCAAAAAGGGGAAGATCCATTATGTGGAAGAGGTTATACTACTGACTTGCTTACAGTTCTGAGTTGATTGTGTCCGTAGTCACTGAACCTTGTTGAAAAATTACCAGCTTAATTAGCCGATTTCCCAGGAGTAACAGTAACTGGACCAGTCTTTTATGTGTTGATGAGCTTTTTAAACACATTTAAGCGGTGACGGAGTTGAGGTACTAGTTCAGATTTATTGAAGTAAATACAAGTCTCACTGTTGACAACAGGAATTAATAGACACAGTCTTTATAAGAAAAATGACGTTTTCATATGTCTGTTTAGAAATCTAGGACCATATAAGACCTTAGTAAGTGCTCTCACCTTGGCAGATGGATTAATCCTGTTCTTTTGGAGCCAGTTCAACATCTGGTTTATCTGTGGAGCAGAGGCCAATCTGGCTCTGTTTTGACGATATTAAAAAGAAACTGTTCAATATGACATACAGTTTTTACTGTCCTTTGAGACCAACTTGATTCCAGAGAGGAAAAAACACCTGAATGAATGGTGGGTGTTTGCATTTTTGTACCTAGCCAAATGTGCATGACGTTAGTCATCCAGTTCAGTGTTAACAGGACCTTTTTTTAAAAAAATATATCTTTATTGATTTCAGAGAGAGGGAAGGAGAGGGAGAGAGAGAGATAGAAACATCAATGATGAGAGAGTCACTGATCGAGCCCACAACCCAGGCATGTGCCCTGATCGGGCATCGAACCCCGATCCCCTGGATCCTAGGTCGACTCTCAACCACTGAGCCACACCTGGCTGGGCAACAGTGCCTATTTAATGTTAGGCTACCCCAGTTTAATGTTAGGTTATCTCACCTGGCACCTCTGACTGTTACACTAACTGGAAAGTGTTGGATTACTGGAGTTGGCAAGGGAATCTTTTTGAGTGGCTAAGATTCCTTTGGCTCTCTGCTAACATGCTTGTTCTTTAGCCTATAAGCAGACACAAGTATCTTCAAGAAAGGTTCCTTTTGCTCTTGGGACCTCAGCAGAGTGGAGAGAGCACTTTCTGGTATATACCCCTATTTAAGCACCTGTAGGGGGTCTTCTTGCCAGTTAATTCTGTATAATCTTGTTTTGAGATACTTGTATTAAAATCAGACTGACTGAAAGCCCCCTCTGATAACCACCTATTACCGTAATAGTAGTAACAGAATTAAGGATGACTCTGAGTTGATTTTATTTGTAGCAGTTAGAAAATAATTATGGACTTTACCTGAACCATATATATTATATAATGCAATAATAGTAATAAAGTAGCCTTATAACTGTGTAAATTTAATTATCTAACACTAATTTGGTGCCAGATAGAGAGCTTTTTGGCATCTTGAGCCATTTGACAAGACCTGTTTTGCAGGTGTGCACATCTTTATCTCATTTAAGATTCTATGTAGGGGCATACACAGAACTGCTGTTGCTACTTGGCCTCCATTCTTAGACTGAAGTAGAGACTCTCAATTTCTTGTTATTGGATTGCTAAGAAAAAATCATTATTTATTTACACAAGTAACTTAAACGATACAAAATAATTAAAAGCTACCATTTGCTAAGCATTCACAACTCCTATGAAGATATTATTCCCACTTTATCAATAAAAAACTTAAACTCAGAGAGTTGAAATAATTTTCTAATGGCCACACAGCCAGTATACTGGAATTTAGAGTAGAACTGACCCAAATTGTTAATTAATTATCCCTGGTAGTTGAAAATGCTATTGCTGGATGTGCTTCTGATTTGATGGGGTCACAAGGTTTGGTATTATCTTATGTTCTTCACATTCAGTCCTAGAGAAAACAGCACAATGACATTGTACTCCAAAGTAATGCTGCCAAGTGTGACTAAAAAGAGTATGCAAAATCACTGATTGATTTGGTTCTATAAAGAAGTTAATGATACAAAGTGATTGAGTTGACCCATAATAAAAACAGTTTTCTAATTTTGAGATATCTAGTGCATTAGGCATTCTCATTTTATTATATTTCCTCTTAATAGTCTGTCTAGTTTTGTTTTTGTTTTTTCACTTATACTTACTCCATTTGGGGTATATAAAATGTCTATTACTAAAGGTATTTCAAAGTGAGGCAGGAGGCCTTACTTATTCTCTTACTAGTATTAAGGATGAATCTTACCCATTCACCAAACACATGGGCTCCAACTGCCTAGAGAGGAGATTACAGTGTGTTGAATATTGCAGCTGAGCCCTGTATCTGCTTATTTATAAACCAGCCTTTGTAATAATTGCATGCATCAGTAACAGTTTGGATTAAGTTTATTTTGATGTTTTGTTGTCTAATAAATTTGAGGGTAAAACTACCTCCTTAAATGTATTGGTCAACTAACAAAATGTTTTGTACCTGCTTGGTGTTATATGTAGTTTATTATATGTGTGCTTTAACTACAAAGTTTTTCTTTTTGTTTCTAACTATCATGTATGTCATACATTGATATCTTCACTTGTAAATTTGTTTTAAAATGTTATTTAAGGTACTTCTAGATCATCAAAAAGCAAAACAAAAACATGTGGCTTATTTAAACCTAATTATTATTTTTAATAAGTACTTTTTTATATAAATGAGTATAAAATGTTTTCTTCATCAGTAGGACAATTACCTTGATTTTCTTTTTTGCTCATTTGGCTGTCTATATTACCTCTTCAGCCTTGACGATGTGATGGTGAACTAACAGGTTGCTCTTGAGAGTAATGTCCTTCCCTGTTACACCCCCTAACGCTGCATCGTGATGATTATGTATCAGCTTATTTCACAACCAGCTTAAAGATGCGGCTTTTTTGGAAGCAATGCTATTCATAGAAACCTACTAACCTAAAATGTTTTTGCCACTTTATTTCTTAAATGTAGGTGGAAAAAACCCACATCGAGGTCACAGTACCCACCTCAAATGGTGACCAAACACAGGTTTGTGCCAGTAGGCCGCTTGTTCCTTTTCCCTTCTCTCCTCAATTTTTTTTTCTCCCCACTACCCTCTCCTTAAAAATAAAAATTCAAATGAAGGTTCTAACAAACTTCAGTGAGCCAATATTTTATCATTTTTCTTTCTTTTTTTAATAATGGCAAAACAGAAGCTTGCAGAAAAAACTGAAGATCTGATAAGAATGAGGAAGGTTAGCCTTTTTTCATTTTCACAGAACTGCATTAGCATCACCCATGCTGACTTTACAGTGCATTAAAAAGACAGTGGTCCATTCTTTTCATTGATTTCTCTTAATCAGAAATTACTTTAAAATAGCAGAGATATATGTATATATATGCATATATGCACACACATATGCATACAAAAGACATTATAATCCTATAGTATATATTGAAAAATTTCATTAAAATAAACTTTCCAGTAGGAAAATAGCTTCTGAAACACAGTGGAATAATTAGTAAAGGCCAAACCTATCCTTATTAAACTTTGTAAGAAATATTTCACAATAGCACCATATTCTTGAAATCAACAGTATTTTATACATATTTATTATGGAAACCATCATAGCATCTCTCAGTATTGTTAATAACTTTGGATTTGGCTGCTCTGTGCCTCTTTATTCCCAACTACAGAGTGGGATGAATCAGTTTCTGCTGAATATAATATTGAATGATCGTATATAAAATGCCCATAGATCTTTCTTATGAGAAGTATTAGAGATGTACATACTGCAATATTACTATGTATGAAATATGTCAAAAAAAACCCTAAATAATGTTTTAAAGTATTTCTCTACTCCATGGAACATGGAGTTTCAAAGTTTCTTAAAATCATGAATTTTAAGATAACCCCTCAAACAGCTCAATTTCAAAAATTAAAATAAAACAACTTATTATATAAGAAGCCAATGAAGCCAGGAGCACTGTCTGTTTAAATAACATCATCACATCCTTCATCGTTCATGAACAAGGTCATCCATTTTCCAGTGGTAATTGTGTTCTCTGTGTGTCCTTGTGTTTCTGTGACCATTTCATGTTGGCATATGCTGTGCTGTGGACATTTAATTTGAAATAATTTTTGGTTTGCCAATTTGCAGTTTTTTTCCCGCAAGAACAATGTTTTAATTTTTTATGCTTTTCTGTTTTCCCCTCTTTCATTTTCACAGAAAAAGAGAGAGAGACTAGATGGTGAAAACATTTATATCAGACATAGCAATTTAATGTTGGAGGTTTGTATGAACTTGAAGTTTATTTCAGTTGGTTGCCTGTAACTTTCTGCATTCTTTGCTGATGCCCCTTTCTTCTTTCTGTGCTGCGTTTGGTTTTGCATGCCATTGCATGGGAGAATTTTAGGTTTAAAATGCTTTTGCATGTTGGTAAACATGAAGATATATAACCATCTCACCTGACTCTTTTTAGTTTCCATCTCTCATACTTACCTAAAAAATATATGATTGGGACTACCTTTGCTTCTTGTGGTGCCATTGTTTTACCCACTTTTAGAAAATTCTACATCACTGTTTAAAAAATTCCTTGAATTTTCCAAGAGTATAAACTGCTATATGTCCCAAGCATCAAATTTTTTATCTTCTGAACTGAGTATGGAAAAGTAAAAGAAATTATCACAATTCAAAATGGGCTTAAAATTTTGGGGATACCAGAAAATGACAGGAGGACATTCAGGGGGAAAGTAAGTAAGATACAGGAAGGAAAGAAGGGAGCATAGCATTTAATGAGTAGTTAGTATGACATAAGATAGTTTAATCATAAAAACAGGTGTGTGGGTATGAGATTATTATTTTAAAGATGAGAAAATTGAGGCTTAGAGAAGTTAAGTAATTTCCCTATGGTCACAGGGCTGGTAAATTGGTAAAGCTAGGGTTTGAGGTAGGGCCTGTCTAACTCTATTAAACTACATTTTTTTTTCCCCATTAAGAAATAGCAATATAATGTCTGCTATAGGAATTGTAAGGTCGTTTTCCCATTATATTCCACATTGGTGAGATTTTTACCAGAGTTATGTTGTCTACTTTATCTATTTTGGGGCTCCATATTGGATAGAGAAATATAAAACTAATTAGAAGATTCAAGGAACTCTGAGGAAAAATTAAGGAAACTGGAATTATTCTGTGTGGACAAAAAACTGAGGCTATGTTAGTTTAAACATCAAAAAACTCATATTAAAGTTGATGACCAAATTATTTTACAGTTCCACTCAAGACAGCAAAGGAAACGAGTACAGACTCTGGTATTGGGGATTTAACTTAGCTCTAAAGGAAATATAAATATATAGGAAGATGGTAAACATGTTATCTGCCCTTAAGCTTACAGTGTGGGGAAGTGGAGAGGAAACAGTAAATAAGTAAACAAATAGCAATAAAATGATTACAAGTTGTTATAAAAGTGATGAAGGAAATAAACCATATGCTGCTGTGCTAATAAAAGGGATCTACTCTGAATAAGATGGACAGGAAAATTCTCTGTGAAGAGACATTTTAGTTGAGACTTGAAAGATGATGAATGAATATTAAATGTGGTCAATACTATTAATCTGGAAGTCTGAAGAAACTTTTAGATAGATCTCTGATTTAATATAATGGTCTCTAATAATTACGTAAGCTCATCTTATTCTTTATCAAAACATATATTTTGAGTGCCTGCTATGTATAAGGTACTTTGATGAAAGTAACACAGGTTATGACCAGCCTTCATTAATCATGTACTGTGTGGTGGGCACACTATCAAGTGCTCTACATCCATTTACCTCATGTAGCATGAGGTTTTCCAACATATTTCAAATGTGGCAACTAGATCTCTTTGCTTTAGCCTATAACTGAAACTAGACCTGAATGGTTTCTCTTTAGAGATTAGGAAAAATAACAGATGTCAGTTGATCTCCTTGAACACAGCAATAGAACGTCTCCCAATTCCAAACATGCCTATTTCTTGGCTAGTCCATTGTTAGTGCTTCCTCTTAACTGGAACCTGCAGTACCAATCATATATTTGTCATTTGTTTCATGAGGTGTGTTATGGCTTCTGGACTTATAAAGTCCCTGTGTGTGATGTGTTTTCCCCCAGCATTTCATTGACAGCCATGAGAGGGGATTTCTAATAAGTGTGTGTTTGAAAATTAAAACTACTAACTACCTTTTGAGAATATTTTATATTTAATGAAGTGTTTGGTTTGATTGCTGCTAAAATTATAATATGATAGGCATCAAAAAGTGTCTAATCTGAAAACAGCCAAAGTAATTCGGCTAACCATCATTCTCTAGGTATTGTAAAAGTTTGGGGTGGGTTTTTTTCTCCTAAGGAAGTTCTCTCAAATTATCTGTCACTCTACCAGGTTTTTTTAAGCATCCCTCCTTCCCCTACTCCTACCCCACCCCCACTAATGCTTTGTTCTGGCACAAATAAGGTCGAGCTCATTTTTAGATGTACTGCCTCCTCCTCCATCCCCCAGAGGGAACCTGTAACAAGTGTCTGTGACAAATTCTATTTGGAACAGGTCCCTTTGAGATCTTAATTTTACTCTGTGCCCCCACAGGTTTCCAACAGAGCCAGCTAAGAAGGATGGAGAAAGCTCCCTCAGAAGCTGCTGATGTTATTGAAACACTTATTTTCTCAGGTTCCAAGCCAGAGAAAAGCTAGGCAAGACGAGTAACAGATCTCTCATGTTAAAAGGCTAACCTAGAGAGTTATGGTTTTACCATAGCATCTCTCACTTATTTTTGTTTCGCTCCATTCACCTCTTAACTCTCCCAAAACGGTTAAGTTGGTCCTGGCCCAAGCAGATTTAATTTCCAGGCAGAAGCTGGGTCACAGGGCCTTTCAAGCCTGCTGGGCCTCAGTTGCTCAGCCTACCTACTGAGTCTAACTGAGCTTGTTCGTGCCCTTTTTTTAGCTAGTAAACATGCTTTTCTTGCTTTCAGCTAGAACAAAAGTGCAAACTGTTGTTTCCCTATGGCGAAGCCCATGTTCATGAGCTATACTCACACTTCACCCCAGAAAGCAAGAGATAGCCCTATGGGGGAGCTACAGGATTGCCCTTTTGGGGTTAGTTTTCTCTTTGAATGATCGCAAAGCAAATATACATGATTCATTCTTGCAAAAATAAAGACTAGACTAGTAAATGAATTTCCTGAATGAATATCTTCAGAATCAAAATTGTGTCATATGCCTCACTTATTCTTTTTTCCTATGCTGTTTTCACTATTTTCCCTTTGACATTGCTTTTGAAAGAAAATTTAATTTAGTTAAAGCCTAAATAGCTCCAGAAAAAACTTTTTAAACAAATTTTTTTATTTAAATGAGTTCCAATTTTTTTTTCTCTCCAAAATGAGGCTGTTCCCCACAGAGTCAAAAAGAAAAAAACAACAAAGCTAATCCCAAAATTCACATGGCATATTAGGAGATATATTTAGTGTTATGCTTTTCTTGGATACTGAGCTGCCTTGATATATAATAAACACAGAATTTTTAGTAGTCATCAAGTGACGGGCTCCCATATATTTTGATCTCAAGCATAGATTTTTTTTAGTTTTTTTCAGAGAAGTATTTTAGACAAAGAACATTTGAGTTTTTGTCTTCAAGTTGTATTTCTCAGATTATTTCTGGCAAAGTCTCCCTTTTGAAAATTGTTATATACTTCCTGTTACATAAGCCTAAATATTTCTTATTATTTCTAGCTTTATTGACTTTAGTTTTGATCATTTCTCTCTAGAATATGCCCCTTAAGATCTTACCCCTAGTTGTCCAGTATGCACATCTGCTGGAACAGTTGAGGTATTTTAAATCATCAAGAAGGTATATAAGCTATTTGATGAACTCTTGTTAAATCATCTCGATTCATTGAAGGTTAGTAGAAGAGAGTCCCTATCTTGTACTAAGGGATGAAGTGAAGCTGTCAGAGGCTGGAAAGCATAGGCCTTTTAGTTTGTGTGAATAGTATTGGCAAAGAGAAAAAGCCGTTATATTACATATCCCTGAGTAATTATTCAGAGATAGTAACAACCTGCTCTGGAGGCTCAAACCAGGAATTTCAGTTTTTTTGTTTGTTTATTTTTGTAATCTTGGAGCCAATCACTTTCTCCCAGAGAAATGTCTTTTTTTTTTTTAAATTATAGTTGATATACAATATTATATTAGTTTCAGGTGTACAACATAGTGATTCGACACTTATATACCAGTAATAAATTCTTATATCAAGAAAGGACTACTCGTGTTTACCAAAAACCAACAGCCACTAAATTAATAGGGAAGCAAAACTATCTCTAGTAGAAATGGAGGGATACTGTACAGTTGCAACCTCACCAATGCGAGGCAGCCAGTGATGGAAGCTGAATCTTTCACCATGTCCTTCATTTAACAGTTTCTCCTTGTCTATTGCTATCTCCATCCTGCCTGAGCTGAGCCTGAATCAGTTTATGTCAAGCTGAGTCTAATTGAGTTGTGGGATTTCCTTCTTGGGATGAGGAACTGGAGATCTGGCACTGTGTCATAATGGGAAGAAGGGTTGTAAAATTGAGTGAGCTCCTTATGGGTTATATAACTGCTAAGAGCTATGGGGTTATGATGCTTCACTGCTTCCAAGAAAAGCACTTAGTTTTGTGGGGTTTTTTTTTTTTAAAGCAAGGAATTATACCATGTTGTATATTTACAGTTTGAATGCAACTTATGGATTAGTTATTTATTTGTATCCCTGGATGTGGTGTATTTTCTACCAGTGCCCATAGTTTGTGATGGGCTTCCCTTGTTGTCTTTTTTTTCTGAGTATTTATTGTTTTGCACCTTTGCCCTTTCAACTATAGGATTTAGACAAAAGTCAAGAAGAGATCAAAAAACATCATGCCAGCATCAGTGAGCTGAAAAAGAACTTCATGGAGTCTGTACCAGAGCCACGGCCTAGTGAATGGGATAAACGCTTATCCACTCACTCCCCGTTCCGAACACTTAACATCAATGGCCAAATCCCCACAGGAGAAGGAGTGAGTACTTTGTCCATGTGCCCTTACTATGAGAATGAGTGAAATAAATGTTTTTGTATATTCATATTCTGTATCTGAGAGAAAGTTTAGAGTTGAAATTTAGCTTTGGTGCCTCACCAGTTCATTGCAGCTTTAAAGCATTCATAATCAAACACTTGTTTTTTTAAGTCATATGGGCTACCCAGTCTAATTATGGGAGCCACTTAGAACTACCAGTAGATGATTAGGGTCTGAGTACTCTCTTTCTAGCTGCATGCTTCTGGCTAGTGTGTGTTTACATATTGACCATAAGCCAACGGAACTTTATGTTCAAACTCTGCCTTCAAGGACCAGAGAGTTTACTAAATTTAGTAAGGTCAAAATTGGAAAGGAATAAGCATTTTTTAGAAACTTTATTTGAACATTTGCACAACTTAGAAATGTCTGGAATGGTTGACCACAATTATATAATAAACCTAGGAGGCCCCTAAGCCAGAGAATGCAGAATACCAAGTATTAATGATTGTATTTCAATTTTAGAAAAACTATTGATGATTTATTTTATCTTTATGAGTAATATCAAACTTCTAATACACTGTTTTATAATATAGTCACAATTAGAGGAAACCAGAGATATTTTTCAGGGACTGTTCTTCTTTAATTATTATTCTCATTATCTATTGTAGAAATTCTACACCTAAACAAATGAATCTGTGTAATGAAAATGTCTTAAAAGTTATCTTGAGCATAGATTCAAAAATTCTTTACTTAATCTTTAGCCAATCAGGCTAAATATTTATATAAATAGCCACAGTGACTCAATGAATGATTGTAATGATTTTTATTTTTATTTATTATTATTATTATTATTTTAAACATATCTTTATTGATTTCAGAGAGGAAAGGAAGGGGGAGAGAGAGAGATAAAAACATCAATGATGAGAGAGTCATTGATCAGCTGCCTAGCCTGCAACCCGGGCATGTGCCCTGACCAGGAATCGAACCCACATCTCCTGGATCCTAGGTCAATGCTCAATCACTGAATCACGCCCGGCCGGGCTGTAATGATTTTTAAATTATATGTTGTTTTCCCCCAAAAGCAATAGCGATTCTAGTTAAGAAAAGTAAACTGATATATCAGAATTTATGATAAACTATCCAACTTATTTAGTTTCTGGAATTGGAGAAGATAATAAAAGTTGGTTGACAAAGGATACTTTTTATATTTTTAAAAATGTGATTAAAATTGGCTAATGATTCTCTAAATTGAGTCAAATCTGTTTTACTGAGTAAGGGTGGAGAATTCCTGAGTGATGGGCCGCTAAATAGAGTTACCAGGGATGATAGGATGCAGTTGTACCTATTCACTGTCCTCTCGGCCTCCATGCCCTGATATACACGGACATTAGTTTTGTTTTCTAAATCTAGCGAATATCCCCTAAACTGACTTTTTTCTCGTGGAGAAAATGATCTGTTACTCTATCTCCTGGTATCTGCATATTTTCTAGAAGTTTTCTTTTTGACTCTGTGAAAATAATAAAAGATGCTCAACTACTTTGGAAAAGTAACAGTATTCTCTTGGATAAATTTGAATCAGTCTCCATTTCCAGAAAATATCTTATAGCTTAACAGAAAGCCTTCAGAAACCATCTCAGGGCAGTTTGGGGAATGTCTATGTCATTCTGTGGACTTTAAAGAAGTGACTGTTTATAAATTAAATTAGGTCAGTGGGGATGCTTGAGCAGCTTTAGCTTTATGCTTGTTTATATTACCCTCTAAATGAATAGTGGAATAAATAAGACTGTACTGTGATAATAGTTTATATAGGATAATTCCACTTTCTGGCATATCTTACTGTTTCTTTAATAATTAGGACAGTATTTCTGTTCTCTGGGGATACCTCTTCTACCTTTGACAGCATTGCTGTTGCAAAGCAACTGAATTTTATATAATTTGTGTATGACCAGGTGAAGAAAACCTCTATCCTTCCCTCGGAAAGAAAGGTTGGTGGGCCAGAGGTAAAGCTGCTGTTACGACTTGTGCTTCTCAACCACAGTTTGCTCTTGTCATGGCACTAAGCAGATAATCCCCCCAGAATCGAACAGCAGCTGCTGAGTAATTTTTTCTTTTCTTTTGGCTATACTAGTAAATTCACACCCACCGCCTTTTGACCTAACACATAACATTTCCACTGCTGCAGCTTTTGCAGCTTTCAATTTGCTTTTGTTGGCGCATGGCTGTTTGAAAAGCTGCATGCAGATGTAAATATGTATTCAGAGAGAAAATGAATTTAATTGTACCCTGTTCTTTTTATGTTGTCTTTCTTCACCCCTTTATTTTCTTTTAAAAATCATTATTATAATTTTGCATCCTTTCTTTTCCTATTTTCTTTTTTGCTGACCAGTCCCCCAGCTACTTTCTCCCTGATACATATCACTTAGGGGTGTGCAAAGAACCAGTGTCGAATTTTCAAACTGATCCAAGAAGGCTGGCTCAGCTGAGAGAACTTAGAGCCAAGTTTTTCCTTTCATAGATAATATGTGTCTTGACTAGATGGCAGAGGACAGAAATTGTGTGTGTGTGGGGGGGAACTTCACAATTGTACAATTGTAAAAAGATAACTTTCCTTAAAAGTGTCAAAAGTGTTTGCTTAATGTGATGTGTAAACCTTTGTGGTGTTCATTATTGTTAGTTTTCATCACAATTCCAAGAGAGAGGGGAAGGAAGTTTACAATTAAGATTTGTGGGACTTTTGTTTGTGGGGTTTTTGGAGGCACATATAAACTTTTATACATTTTTTCTTTGCAATCTTTAAAATGTATAGGATTAAGGTTTTTATTCCCTTGAGCAAAAGCTAATTGCCATGTTGAATGATTCTTAAAATCTATATGAAGAGATATGAGGATAAATTCATATTCTACCATTCTATTTGTAATAAGGTATCTTTTCTGATGGCAAAAAGAATGCTTCATTATTAGCTTTGCCCAATTGATCTAAGAGAAATTGGCAGCACCAAAGCAATGAAAAACGACCCAAAATTCTTTTGTGAATATCTTCGAAGGAGGAATAAATACTATAAGGAAGTCCATTGATTCCTTGAACTTTCTGGACTTCTAGTGTTCATTCATTCAAAAAAGTTATCTATTGAGTACTGTGTTATAAAAACTTTGCTGGGATAAATTGTCAAAGTAAAGTAAAATAGAGTGTCCAAAAGATCTTCCGAAATCCTTTGCACATCCCCAAGTATCATTTTTAAGCATTTTCCATCTGTCATTTTGTTCATCTTTCTCTGTCTTTCTTGATCTTCTACCGTGAAAGCAGACACAGGAACGTGCTCTGTTAGTGCAGGATGAAGAGAAAATTAAAAGGCAAGAGAGATCTACTGAAAGAGCTTTGCCCCAGCAAGAAAATGAAGAAATTCTTCCCAAGGTTTCTATTCCAATCCCTGAGGATCACAAGTCTTTCAAAAAGTGCCACCTCTACTCTAGTACTTTTCCATCTCCTCGTATTCCTTTCATGATGTCTTTTCTCGTGGTTCTTGCATTGGCTGTTTGGTGGTTGGTCTTTCTGTGATCGGAAAACAGGGTGCTCACCTGACATGTCAAGACTAAAACTGTTGAACTTTTGTCGTTGGCTTCTACTGTGTTATCTCCCGTATGATGCCCTCCGATCTTGATAGTTCACTGTCCTAGGGGAGCTCTTGTGATCATTTTTCTGTCAATAAAATGTTACTCTTTGTAGAATATGTGCCATGGGGTACAAAGTTGTAGGAGTGGATGGCCTAAGCCAGCTTTCCTCACTGAAGTGAGCAAGTTTAGACAAATCAGATTTAAGCATGTGGCAGGTTGGTACTTTCTCCAAAAGCTTTTGCTCTTTTATCCCGCATGTTTTAATTGTCTGTTGTTGCTATGTCCTCCTCTCTGTCTCACACAAAGCAAGATACTCTGTAGAAACATTCAATGGAATATTTTCCTAATCTTCTATAGTCATTTGTGTGGCACAGGCTCTGTAGGTTAAGAAAAAAAATTCAACTTGCTAACCTTTCAAAAGCCTTAAAATGACACATTTTAATCTGTGAATCCAAAATTACTCCTTTTCTCGAGATATCAAACCAGTATATACAAAGGCCCTTTTTGAAAAAGGGCTTTTGACTTCTGTGGCCTTCTTAATGTATATTTCTGAGATGTACAGGGACAAACAACTTTATCCTGCCTGATGTAGAGAACAGATCTGCAAAGGTTAAATGTTGTCTTTTCACAAATAAAACGTTGATGGTTTAAGGAAAATGGTGCTGGTGTCCCTTAGCCTCCAGCCAGGACTGAATTTCCCAGACTACTCTGCCCATCTTTAAAAGTCCTGGAATACAAATTTATTCAAGATCTATACATAAACATACCGTCTTCTGAATTAAAATACTGTGTTACTTCTTTATGACTTAAGTAATCATATTGCTAAAAGCAATATTTAGCCATATGGTAAGCTTAAAATATATATTGATATATTTTGTTTTCCTGATATACTTTAGACATGTATGTTCTTACATTTGTGTTGAAATCAATTGTTTTTAATTGATGGCCTTGTGAGCTGTAAAGTTCTATCGTGACAAGTGTGTGCCCTCTGTTTGCATGTTGATTTTTAAGGCTTTCCTGAAGTAAATATAAGCGTGGTCTCTCTTCACAACACAACTCGGATGCCTAACCTGTTATTTTTTTACCTCTATTAATGAACTCTTGCATGTAGCTTGCTTTTTATGGGACTTGAATGTACCAATATGGATGATTTGGTTAATGTCTCAAATATTTGTTTAGAAATCTGAGTTCATAGGGTCATCAAACTGAGATTATTGTACTTTGTTTTACTACTTAATGCTTTTCAGTTGATGAAACTGCTAAACAAGACTGTTTTTAAGATGACGGCTTCTTAGAGCAAAAAAAGAACAGTAAAGCCAAGAATCTTTTGTCCTTCAGCATTCACCACTATTCCTTTATTGTCTCCGTGGACATGCAGAAATAATTCTCTGGTATTCCTGAAAACTGCTCTTCTGTCATTATAGGTTTTCAAAAAAAAAAAAAGTAGTGAAAAGAAGCAAAGAGCGGCTTAAATTTAAAAATCTGGTATGAGTGTGTATCTTTCATATCATAGGCTATGTCTGTTTACAGAAATATTTTATAATTAAGCATATTTATTGATTCACTCATAAAAAGAAAAAGAAACCTCAAGTCAACCTGAAATATTGCAAAACTATTCTCTAACCTAGAAGGTGATCATAAATACTCAGCTTTATCTGTGAAATAGACTTACAAGAGCTTTCCTTATGAAATAAACAAAACTATAGCATTGGTTTAAATTCTTTTTTCAAGGAACTAAAAAGGAAATAATCTTAGAATTTTATTGGTACTTCTATAACTGTTTCAGATTATACTTCCAGTTTTCATTCCTATACACAGATTGTTTTAAAAATACATGTTTTTATTGATTTTAGAGAGAGAGAGGAAGGAAGAGGGATAGAGAGAGAGAAACATCAAGTCATTGATCTGCTGCCTCCTGCACGCCCCCTGCTGGGGATCGAGCCCACAACCTGGTCATGTGCCCTGATGGGGAATCAAACTGGGGACGCCTTGGTTCATGGGTTGACGCTCAGGTCGGGCTTTATTATTGCAAACTTCACCTTGAATTTTGTTTCCCTTTGTATTTGCAGTTATTCCAAGTTCATTAAAAGTCTAGTGTAAGCCAACAATACTTTTCAGTTTTTTCAAGGGCAGCAGGAGCCTCACAGATCCTTACTGATGTTGGAGGAGAAGGGACAAGCCTTTGTTTGTATTGGACTAAGCTGGCCAGTGTGGGCTCAAAAGATACACCCACCACAATTATCAGAGGGAAAATATTGGACATTACAGCTTTGTATTACCTAAAGTTAATGCTGGTGATATTGGTAACGTGAAGCTGTAAATAGTTTGGTTTCCTTCTCATACCTCATTCCATTCTCAATACCAGAGACAGATCCAAATAACTGTGTATTGATTTTACCCTGGTGCAGTTTCTTAATGGCAGGTTAAGTAAAAACTATTTGGGCTAATGTTATTAATACAGACCAGTAAAATGTCTTGAGCTTTGCCTTAGTTTTGTTATTAATTATTTCTAGGGTCACTGAGAAGTTCACTTACTTACCTGGTGCCCAGATTTCTACCTAGTAATGCAGAGACAAACCTACCTCATGAGTACAAATCTGTAACATGTTCCAGGTACCAGAAGCTCTGGTTATGGTTGAATTCTTGGTCTTTTGGGGACCAGGAAGATGGAAACTAAGAAACAAACATGCATCAACTTCTTGAAAGTTTTTATAGGAAAGTAAGCAATGAAGTAGCTGTGTATTTTCATCTACTCCTTATTGGTATTTGAACAAGCACTTAAAACTACTAAAGTTAAAAATGTCTTTCCAAATTCATTATATTCTTAAACTATTCATCTTATCCTTACGGTATACTTAGAGTGGGCCATACTTGTAAATAAAGCCAGCATCAATATTTTGGACCTATCTTTTAGCCATTTTCTGATGCTAATACTTAGAGTATTAAGGAGATTCAGTTTGCATGGGCCAATTTTACTACTTGTTTACATCTTTGGTAAAAGTTTTGAAGAGAAAAGATGCTGACTCTGTTTACTAACATTAGACTGGGCTTATCTGTGGATTAGATTTCCAGGTGATCCTAGATCCTAGTACACTTCTTTTAATTAATTAATATTATAAATTTTACTCTGAAATTTCTGTGACTATAAGTTAATTGACTTTCTCCTACATTCCTAACTCACTTCTGTAATACTTCCTACAGATAAGCCTAGAGGACACACTAGGCATTAGAGGTTTGGTTATTTTTTAGAAGACATTACCAATCAAAACTTATATTTGGGCTTTACTCAGTGATCACGTATTTTCAAAAGGAATCCCTAAGATTCAAAAATAATATGAGATGTTTTCTCACTGTTGCTTGTTTTTGCCAAGGGTACTGAGTATAGTAAA